TACACTCGAGCGGATAAAATATTTCTGTTCTCCCGGATCGAGGAGACCGTGCGAGGCAACCCTCATCGGCCGGCGCTTCCATCGCGCGCGTGCACTTTCTCGTCGCGCCCATGCGCACTTCCCGAGGTCCTTCCTTATGAAGAAACACCGAGAGGGCAACGAGCGAATGCGCTTACGAAGTGAAACCACCGTTGTTGTTTCGACAAGTGTGGATTTCTAACGCGGACACACACGGTGGACGTCCGATTTCCACAATCTCCTCGAGGGCCTCCTTCGAACGCCGCAGGGTAAATCACGCGACAGATGCGCGCGGAGTGTAACCTCGCGTTTCAGAATTTCGAAGTTGACAGAGGGTACACGCAGAAAAATATCACTTGTATCGAGCGGAAAAGCAACTACTCAGTTGATTTTTCTTCTTTTAAGTAATGGTTATTTTAAACGAAAGATATTTTTCTCTTGTTATAATAGTATCGAAATATACTCATCATAAACATGAAAAAAGTTCATCATCGTTTTACTCAAAGGAAGTTTGTTCTTTTTTCAAGAATATTATAAACTTATATTTGATGAATACATTTTATTACTATATCGAGGAAATATTCTTTACTCAAGACAACCATCATTAAAAAGAAAGACAAATCAACCGAGTAATTGTTTTCGGTGCGTAAGCGCTGTCGTCATGTGAATCATCGGTCCTACATCGAGATCGAGATTAATCGTTGCGGGACGTCGCCGATGGACAGCTACCGTCATCGATAAAACCGCGAATTATTCTTCCGTTGTCGGAGATCCTTGAGTCGATCGTAACAAACGCGAAATTAGCTATACAACGGTGGCTACGAATGGGCCGTGGAAACGCGCGATCGGTGTGTTCGCTTTTCGGCCGGACGAGTAATTATTTTTCGAGAGCTCGCTCGCGGCGACCCTTTGGGAAATCCTGGATGGAGGTCGCGGCGGACCCGAGGGCGCTGCGAAGGGATTAGGGTCCGGATAGGCAGGCAGGCATGCAGGCAGGAATTAGATGGCCCGACTAACGCTTCGCGTATTGACGCGCGCGTCGACGCACACGCGCCTAATAGCTAACTAGATTTGACTAATCGATTCGGTTACGGACTACTACTTAGACGACGCGCGCCGTTACCTCGGCATCTAACGCGATATCGATCACCCTGCACGCGGTCGGACACTCGCGGATTGTAACGAAAACAACTCGGACAACGGGGATGAAATACGATGTTTTCGGATCTCCCGTAAACGTCCGTCGCAGAGAATCCTATTAAAATAACTGCCGACGGAGATGCAGACGATGTAGCCGCGCGTTGTGGCCGATAATACGAGGATTCACTTATTATTCTAAGAAGAAACGGCTCGAGAACCGCGCTTCTACTCGCTGACGTTCTCAACGGGAGGAAGTAGTCTCTAGTGATTTCAATGCTACTACCCGTTGTCCGGAAAATTCGAAAATTTGTATACTCGAAATGTTTCCCGTTACGCGTCCGATTGGAGAGTTGCTTAATTCGTATACAGAAAAAAAGTGCTAGATTCAAGTTAACAATTACTCCAATATTCCTTAGCAAATTTTCATTTGGATTAACTAAATATTACTTGAATGCAAGATTTTTTTCTACGTTCAAGTGATATATTTACGTGATCTAAGTAAAATTTGCTAACGAATATTGCAGTAATTATGTACTTGAATCTAGCTTCTGTTTTCTGCGTGTCAGTCACTTAAATATATCTAATCTTGTTTTTTGTAATTATTGAATATAAACGCGGTCTAGTGGTAAATTTATAAAAAAATGAGCAATGAAACAACCAAAATTTGAACTAATTGTGTTTTTTATACGATGTGAACACTTAAATAATGTCTTAAGTAATACGATTTTGGCAACTCATCCTTACTTTCCGAGATATCGGCTTGTTATTATATAGATTGTCTCAACATAAAGAAAACACCTAAATATCTTCTTTGCTTTTAATAATATGAGAAATGATTAGAGCACAATTCGAATGGTTTCGAAGAAGGAATATCGTAGAAGGGCAATTTTTTTACGGTCATTTCTTTCGATTTTTTTTAAGATTCCCATATTTAAGTCCGCAGGATATTCTTTTTATGCCGAGACGCTCTGTATGTTATCATACTCAGTTTTTTAGAAACCAATTGTTTGCGAAGGCACTCTTATGTTTTCATTTCGCACTTCGTACGAGGAACCGCGAGGACTTAACGAGGCGTGGACATTCACCTCGGCGCGGTGTTTCGCCGTGTGATGCTTCCGGCGGTAGAGCGGTAAGATTGATTCGACGCTTTGAGGTAAATGAGCGCACTTAAAAACCCGCAACAAGAAGGCAACGTTGCACCGGTAGAGGGAGCGTAAAGAGGCCTCTTTGCAGCACCGAAAACAATGCACACCGCGAGCCGTAAGCGTCGCCGCGCGGCACTCGTAGCTTGAAATATTTATTTTTCCCTCCCTCGCCCGCCTCTCCCTCGCTTTAGCTATTTCCCCGTTCTTACAACGCGTACAAACGCACTCAGCCGTGCATTGCGCTGCGCACCGCCAGCGTGGCCGGGTGTGCTGCGCGATAATTTCCGATCGGGCGCGATAATTCACGCGAAGAGCCGGCCACGTCGTCGTTTATCCACGATAAACAATAATAAGGAAGCCGCGTCGATGACCGTTATCTCCTTCGGAGTGCTTTTCACAACGCGCTACACGATTGCTACACATCGCTCATGAGTCGAGAATGCAAATCGCGAGTGCCGGCGAACGCGAGTTCGTCTGCACTCGTAACAGGGCTTGTGCAAGCACAGTGAGCGAATTGTTCGACAGGAGGCACCGTGGCCGTGGAATTCCTCTCGACGGTTCGTTCGCTCGCGAAGGAACATTCTCGATCGCGCTGTTCGCGAGCACACCGCGTTGAGTCGCGCGATAAGGATAATTATAGGCGGAAATTGCCGTTAGGTAATCGCGTGACTATTATTTCGCGCGCTTTCGAGAACGCTGAATGCTACGTTAATTGCGGGTATTAAGATGCGATCTCACGATTTTGTCGATTGCGCGAGAATTGCACGTAAAAAACGTGGACACCCGGACGCCCGTGTAGGAAATTTCTCGGTATCTAATTGGGATTCAACCCGATTTCCCACAGTAATGATGGATTATATAATTGGGAAATCTATGCAGGTTCGGGTTAAGCCGCGACTTCACACGATGTGGCAAATGTAGGCGAACGTAGGTAAACATCGGCAACATACGTGATAATATAACTTATTTTGAGGCAACTTTCACTAACTATTGTAAGCGGAATTCACGCTCTATGTGGGGAAATTTCTATGCGGTGTCGCACGCGCACAAAGTGTCATCGGGATATCGGCGCGGAACAAGGGGAATCCGCGCAGGGCCGATCTCGCGCGCACTAATGGTGACGTCAGCGAACGTTTCAGACTCCAATTAGTCGAGAGACACGTATAATTGGAATTAAGCTCTTAATTACTAGTTAATTAGCCAGCGGCGCGGCACCGGTGGCGGCGGCGACGGCGGTGCTAGCGGGAACAGTAGTATAACGAGAGTTACCCTTAGGGAAGAGCCTCATTGTGCGCACAGGCGCCGCTCCGGGCTGCTTTTCGCTCGTTAATTTGGCATTAATTTACAATTGATAATTATTTTCGTACCGCGGCTTCTGTTCGCGGCACCGTGCGCGCATCGACGACGAGCATCCCTTATGACGAGCTCCGCGCCGCATCCCACCGCCCCGTCTGCGGTACCGCGCGTACGAAAAATTGCCGCTTATACGCGCGACGCACAGCCGTGCTGAAAAAGAGAGAAAGAAAAAAAAAAAAGAAAACCCGACGGACCGCGGATAATTGCGATGCTCGAATTTTTCCCGACGAGATATCGCGAGCATGGCTCCGAGTGGTGCGCTGAAGAGAGATCTATTAATTAACCTCTCCCAGCTCATGAAGGTTTTATGAGATTGTTTCCGCACACTCGAGACTGCAGACAGAAATAGATGCTCAGTGCGTCGTGTTTGTGAGAAAACGTTAGTTTCTGATAATTAGTCGTTGTTCCGGGGAGGAATTTGAGATGTTCCATTTTTCATACGCCAAATGTTTTGGTTGCGAGAGCCAAAATTTGATTTTCCGAGACGGAAATGGAAAAGGTTCGATTCAAGGAACCAAACCTCTGGTTCAAAGAAAAAATGTTGATTCTTACAATCAAAACATTTATTTGCTCCAATTCAAATGACAATTTTATTTGAATCAACTAAGTGGGCTTCTCAGTGCAGATGACGGTATTCATTTACGCTAAAAATGATAAAAGGCACCTTGAGGGAGAAAATGGCAAGGTGTAACGTTGAAGAAACGGGTTTGCTGCAAAGCGAAGTGTATTAATCTGTATTACGAACGTTAATCTCCAGCCTGTTAAGGTCCGAGCATCTCCGAGATGTTCCTTTTTCTTCTCCGCACGAGGCACGGAGGAGCATAAAAATTGACGAAAAATCAATTACGGAAATGCAAAACTCGCCCGCTTTTAGGCACGCAACGGGGTAGATATCCGGGGCCCGAATCATTGGCAAGTCTGGTATAATAGGTAATTTGATACGCAATATGCACGCGGCTCCGACACACAGGAGCGTATAATTATCAATTATACAGATAATGCTATACCAAATAATGAGCCGCGCAGGGATTCGCTAAAATATTAATACCGTCACGTTATTAATATTTAATATCCTGAGATTTTTGTAACGCGAGGGTGGAGCGTTAATTCCGTTAATTCGGCGCGTTCGTTCCGTTTCACAATTACGCGGGCGTGTTAACAAAACAGCACCGCGACGGTCTCGCTCGCGTAATACGCGCTTAACGGTGATAATAATTCCTCCGTTTTCGCCGGCGTGAGCGTCGCGAACTCTCCGTGATTTCGTGTAGTTCCTTCTTTTTAAGACCACCTGGCGATAACAGAGCGAGAGAATATCCCCGATCTGCTTTTCTGTTATTACAGGTGTCGGGCACAACATAGAGTCGGGCAAGGACTTCACGGTGGACGGGCTCTCGGGTTTCAGCAAAAAGAAGAAGAAGAAACGCCGTCATAGGTGAGCCTCTGACAGAAATTTTCGCTTTCCTCTATCTCGTTCGTGTTTCTCGCCGCTCGCGCGCCACGATGCGCTCGAATCGGGGATACTTTGCTCGGCTTGTTTCAATCACTAAAATCAAACATGTCGGCGAATACTTGACTCGAAGCTTGAATATCGCGATACCTTACACGGCGCCTACATCGCGTATCGATCGTCGCCGACTCGTCTCTTTGTTCCGAAGTAAAACGCCGGATTTGGCGGGCGCGCAAAGTAATCTCGGCGTTCGGCGCGAAACTCGAAACGCGCCGAATGAAATATTGCGGAACCTTCGCGTTGCACCGCGTCGTAGCGTTATTCGTTCGTCCGATGAGCGTCGAAGCAATCGCTGATACGAGCGCAATACCTCGCCGACGCGGCGAGATAATTGCGCGGCGCAATAACGAGCGGAGAGTTCAATTGCGTTCTTCGAATTAAACGGTATAAGTCATCTCTCATTGTGATCGCACGCGAGGAGCGTGTAAATACGCCCGAGAGGCACGAAATAGCGGTATCTTCTGTATTAGAACCTAATTATCTCGACGATGGCCGTTCCCGGCCGACGGATTAATCATGTTGCGTTAACGAGCGACGTCGCGGGTATTTGTCATACGCACGTTCAACGTCGGCCGACCGATCGACTAACGCGTATTTACGCAACTCCGCGGGCAATATCTCCGTTTGAAAATCCGAGGAACCGATAGAGAATTATCTCGTTATTTATAGAAACATCGGCGCGCCGGGCCGGGACACTCCGTAATTGCGCGCATTCTTTTGCGTTTGACAAACGCGCGCGACGCCTCAGTCATTTTAACGCATGAAAGGGGAACTAATTCAGAAAGCGAAATGTAATTATACTCAGCGCGGCCAACGCGTAACAAGCAAATAGTTTTTCCTCCCTCTCTTTCCTTTTTATCACACGGCAACGATTTAAACGTCTCTAACCGCAATAATTAAAAACATACAGAGCGCGCGTTGCATTCGCCACGGTTATCCCCTAACGTCCCTCCCCCCCCCCCCCC